AGGAAGCAGTCGGGGTGGTCGGGGGGTTGGCTCAAGAAACGAAGTTGTCCATTGATAACAGGGACCAACCAGCCTGAGGCTCTGGAGCCAAGAGGGAGCCGGCTACAAAGCTGATTCAGGCGAGAGAAGCAAGGATCATGCTATTCCATGTGGGTACCTCGGAGTAGGACTTCGAGATGACAGCTAATGACTAAGGAAAGTCCACCAAAATCTACCTGTGTTGATTTCTTTTAAACCTGGCTCTATATAAACAATCTACTTAGAGTCTCTTAATATTCACTAGGCTTAGCCATATAACTAAAAAGTTATTTTTTATAAGTAAAAAGTAAGCAAAATATGAAAAATTCAGTTTTTAATCCAAAGGGCTTTCAGAACAAGTCACTATAGAATTAAACGTTGAAGCAAGTGTCTGGGAATTCACATCACTACCCAGTCACCTACTCTAAATGCCGAGAAACTACCTGGGAGGGAAAAAAGATTTGTAAGAGTAAGCTGGAATTATCATGCAGGAAAGGGGAAGGCTCGTATTTACTGAGCATCTTATCTGTGTAGCATTTAATCATTCATTTATTTGTTACTTAATGGTGTTGACTGAGCTTGGAACTGTTGTAGATGTGAGGCATAAAATAATGAATACATCATGCAAGATCCCAGTCCTCATACATTCACAGTCCAGTGGCAGCTGCCACTAGAATCGAGTAAACAAATCAATAGCCCAGGTAATTTCAGGTAGAGATAGTACTCTGACGAAAAGAAAATAGAACTGTGTGATCAGAGTGACTGGGGGAGAGTCTCTAGACTTGAAGACAAGGAGGTGTGGAGATCTGGGTAGTTGAGAGATATTCTTTCTTTTCACTTTCACACCAATCCTCTGAAATCTGTAAATATCCCTGATTTCAGATGAAGGTTCGAGGCTAAGAGAAGTTAAATAAGCCAGGCTCGGGTTCAGGTCCACCTAACCCCAAGCCCATTTCTGTTGGGCCCCGCAGCTGACAAATGCCCCCGTGTGTTCTCCCTCAATGAATTCCTGAAACCAGTTCTCCCCATATTGTCCCATATGAAGGACAAATAGATGAAACAAAAGACAGCTGCAGAAGGGATTATCAGGAAATCTTGTTGTGGGTGCCATGCTGCCTTCTCTTCATTAGTTACACAGGAGTGAGGGCAGAAGGTGGGGCCCGGCCACCAGAGAAAACTCCAAAAGAGACAGGTGCTGCCAATGGGAACGAAGCAACTGAAAGCTGGCGCGTTACCAAAGTCCTTAGGCAAGTTCCTTGGGGTGGAAAACCCATACTGTACACCCAGGAATGACAGCGCAAGCCTTGATACTGGGCTGCACAAGAATACCACAGCAGAAAGCTCAGGGAGGAAGAACATACTTCGGTTCAGAGCACTTAGGTGGAGAGATGCTAGCTGAGCAGCTGAAGTCGATAAATAATTCATGAATTGAGAAACAGCATCAATAAGATGTACTTGAAAACCATTCCTCATGCCATGGAGGCCTGAGTTGTAGTACAGCAAGAGAGAGGGGCAGGCTGATACCGAAATCAAACCTGAGGAGAAAGCTCCCTCGCTGAGGGATGGAAACGTCTAGATCTTGGTCTCAGTTTACGAGGATGAATGTATGAAGCCTTGGACTGAGAGACAACAGTCATGAGCGATCTGCCCGACAGTGCCTGGGCTGCAAGGTGAAGTTAACCTCAGTCCTAAAGATTCATTTCAGTTACCACCAACAACTTGATTCCTTACAGTAAGCACGTATTGTTTTCACAAAAACGACAGTCATATATGCGAGATCTTCACCTCCTCCCCACAAAATAAAACCCACTTCATTTCCTCCTCACAAACAAAAGTCATGATTCTGGTTCCCTCTCCCTGGTTAGTAAGAGGTCAGACTTGTTAAGACGCAGTTCTGATTTACCACAGTACTCCGCTGTCCTCGCCCCACGGCCGCCTCGCTGACAGAAAAGCTGTGAGCAATGGCCCAGTCCCCAGACCTAAACGGCAAAGAAATGGCTCCCGGCTCCCTCTTCACATCACAAGCATCCACCCCGAGTCAGGCCGCCCGCTCCTCCTCTGGTTTTCTATGGTCAAATCCTGTGCCACAACTTCCCCTTCCCCAGCCTCACCCCTCACCTTCCCACACAAACAGGAAGGCTGAGGCTCTGGGGAAGCCACTGTCTTTGCTGACCCTCTCTCCTGTTTGTGGGTGATCCTGCTCCCTGTTCCTCTCTGGGCCACCCTCCTCCTCTGTCTCCAGGCTTACTCCACGTGAGTTCACTGCCTCACCCCCACCGAGGGAAGCCTCAGGTCCCATTTCTTCTGACCCTCCTGAATACGTCACCCTTTACCGTCTTTACTGAAGACGTTAAGGATTGGGCAGGCCTCCTGCTCTCCAACTTCCATGGCCCCCGGTGCCTCAGGTAACAGTGCCCAGGGACCACTCACCATTCCTGCCGTCCATTGGCACTTGGCTCAGCACAGTGAGGCCGACGAGGATGTAGTAGATGAGTCCAAAGCAGTACTGCGCGATGTGAATGACAGCGTTGGAAAAGACGCTGACATAGAGGCACTCGAAGAGTCTCCGCCAGCTGTGCAGCCACAGGAACACCAGCACTAAGAATGCAGACAGCGCCAACTCACCCCCTGCGATTCCGAAAGCAACACATTCAGCATGTCTCTTCGGAGTTAAGCCAGTACTATACATTCCTACGGTTACACACAGTAGTAAACAAAAGTGGAGCTAGGAAAGGGGCTAGGAATCATCCAGTCTAACGCTCCCCTGCTTTTCTTAGCAGTGCGGAAGTGGGCCATGTGAAGTCAACGTATTTGGCTCAAGTGAGCTAGTGACAGAGCTGGACAAACATATTTGGCTCAAGTGAGCTAGTGACAGAGCTGGACAAACTCAGGTCTCCCGACTCAGCTTCACCCTGTGAAAGCCTTTGAGATGGCATGGCCCTCACTGTGAAGGGGCCTGTGCTCAGAAACAGGGTCTCGGGTCTCGGGTCCCGGGCACTAATAATAATGAAGACAGGAAGAGTTCTGGGGAGACCGCTGAGCAGCCCCACCTGGGGGGATCCCTGGGGTTCGGGGAGACAAGAGACATAGGCACCCACAGAGGCAGAAAGGAGGACAGGAACTGCGACAGGAAGAATTACGCATTCCTTTCCATGTTAAAAAAAAAAAAAGATATTATACTTTTAGGAGACTGTAATCCCTGAGATCTACCTTCCTACCTGCCTTTCACTCCTCTACCCCAAAAGAAGTCAGAAGAAATGCCGGTTTTAAAAATGACATAAACCCAGCCGGCGGGGCTCAGTGGTTGAGTGTCAACCTAAGAACCAGGAGGTCACGGTTTGATTCCTGGTCAGAGCACATGTCCAGGTGGAGGGCTCGATCCCCAGTTGGGGGCTTGTAGGAGGCAGCTAATCATTGATTCTCTCTCATCATTGATGTTTCCATCTCTCTCTCCCTCTCCCTTCTTCTCTGAAATCAATAAAAATATATTTTAAAAATATCTTCAGGAAAACAAAGACAAAGTAAAGAGATGAGTTTGAATGTGTGAAGCGGGACTCAGTGAGGAGCCCTCCCCTGCCAAACAGGAGCTGCATGTGCTTTTCCTCCTGACCGTCATCGTTTGCAGCAGGTTCCTCTGGTCACACAGAAAGGGATTGTTCCGGGGAGCCAGTGGCTCGGCTGCTGAGCAGAGCCAGCACCAGAACAATGTTTCTACTTCCGCCCCTCTCCCCGCCTGACATGCACTGAGGCCACTTTGTTTTCAGCTTCAGCTCTTTCTTTTAAAATTGTTCTTTATCTGAGGCAAATGTAATGTCTGTTTTGTAATCATTTGGTCAATGTCTTTACAGTCAATTTTCTCAGGAAACCAAAGCCTTATGCTATAACAGTTGTAACCAGTGATCAAAAAGTAATTTTCCAGCACGTTTCTGGAGTTCTGAGACACGGTTTTGGTTGGACGGTATAAACGTTTCAAGGCAAACACAAGGGAATCCTAAAAGCTTTCCTCCTAAGTCTAAAGACGTCTATGTAAATTTACCAACAGTACAAACAGCATCAGAGGGAGAGCAGCCAGTCCGTACACCACCCAGCAACTGCTGTGGAGTCGGGGATGAAGAGCTAACTCTCAGCTCTGCCAAGATCTCAGTGAAAGACGTGGGGGCATCCCCACGGGGATGGGTATGACGAGGCAGAACCCTTTTTGCTCACAGTGGCAATGAAATACCAAGAACAGCTTCCTGCAGGCAGGAAAGGTAGGAACAGGATGCAATCAATGGTTGTGATTACCGCGGAATTGCACAGCCCCAAGAATTCTGAGTAAAGTGTACAGCCAGTCTGGAAAAGGCGCTCCCAGGAACAGGCATTGAGTAAGGCACCAAAGCAGGAAGCCATTCCACAGCACTGAGATGACATAGAAATGAGAAAAGTACCTGCAAAGGGAAAACAAGTTAGGCAATTGTCAGGATAGAGCCCCTTTATTATGCAGAAAGACTATTATTATTATTATTTTATTGTCTAAAGTTTTACATGTCTCCTTTTTCCCCAATTGACTCCCCCCGCCCAGCCATTCCCACCCCAGGCAAGCCCCCACTGCCTCGGTGTCTATGTCCATTGGTAAGACTATTTTTTAGTGTCCTTCTCTTCTCTCCCCGCATCCTCAGAGTCTAGTTCAGTGATGGCGAACCTTTTGAGCTCGGTGTGTCAGCATTTTGAAAAACCCTAACTTAACTCTGGTGCCATGTCACATATAGAAATTTTTTGATATTTTCAACTGTAGTAAAACAAAGATTTATATTGTTGATACTTATTTTATATATTTAAATGCCATTTAACAAAGAAAAATCAACCAAAAAAATGAGTTCATGTGTCACCTCTGACACGGGTGTCATAGGTTCTCCATCACTGGTCTAGTTACTCTTTTTAACAGAACCTGAAGCCTACAGGTGTTCAGATTTCAAAACTTCCTTTCAAATGATGGGACCGCTGAACTCAGAAGAAAAGAGGCCTCCTGAGGTTAACAAGAATATGATTGACGCTGTTAAACTTAGACTGAGGTTTAGTTAGTAAGCTCTCTTTCCTCTGGGTAACTGGATTGGGCTCAAGTTCCAAACTAGTTCCTGGATTGTGCTAAATGCAAGCCAAATCTGTGAGATTTCTAAATCTGGAGCAGTGTTACCGCAATAGCCATACGACTGTTACACAAGATTTACACAAGTACAGGCGTTCAGGGCTGTTAAGAAATCTTAGAGGTCTTCCGATTCAGTCTTCTAAACTGTGTTGACCTAAATTACTTAGATGACAAATATTAACTCATACAACTAGGTATCAACTCCTGAGGGTTACAGCTCTCATATAATTACAATGCTTATTTTGCAATCAACAGTTACAAATGAAATACAAATAAAACCACAAAACCAATAAAAATTGTAATTAGCAATGTTAATTTGTTGTGAAAGATGATGTTGGTTTGCTGAAATGAAATCACCTCATATGGCACAAGGGCCTAATGGTTTCTTTGTTGGTCCACTTTACTATTTTTCTCCATCCAAATCAATTCAGAATCATTCTGACTTTGCAAGGTGCCTGGAGGTCATTTGGCCTTCCCTGGTCTTCAGTGATCATGTATATAGTAAGCCCCCTTCCCTCTTGTCTCATTAGACTGTGACAAAGTAAGATGACCTGGAGTCAGGAGGATTAAATATAAACCCAGGGACTCCTCTTCCAGATGATCCAGAATATTCTGTGCACCAGAACTCAGTGCACCCAGACCATGCCCACAACGCAGTCTGCCTAACAATGACCTAATCCGATCATTCCACAGTAACCCTCTTAATTCTCCCAACTACTGTTACAGACTCTCTATCACTGGATCTGCCCTCTCTGAGCCGTCCAATTCCTAATTCTGATCTTCTCCAGGCTCACGAGCTTAGTTTCTTCAAATGCTCATGCATCAGTGTTAATTTCACAACCCCCCCCCCCCCCCCCCCCCCCGCAGGCCACTGGCCTTTGGTTGCCTTCCAGCGTTTTCCTTAAGACGCACTTCCTAGTCATCGTCCTAATACATCAAGGTTGCAGGTTCAATCTCTAATCAGGGCACATAAAAGAAGCAACCAATGAATGCATAAATGAATGGAACAGTACATCCATATTTCCCTCTCTTTATCTCTCTCTCTTCCTCTTTCTCTCTAAAAATTAAAACAAAACAAAAGACACACTTCCTAGAAGCGAGCCCAGGTCTGGTCTGGGGCAGGAGCAGAGCAGATGGCAGCAGCACCTTGCTCTGCAGGCTCCCACCGAAGGGGAGGGGTCTGCTCCCGAGGAGCAGCTTTACCTATTTCATTTTTTCACAAATATTTACCGAGCACTTAAAACATGCCAGGTACCGTTGCTGGAGCTGGGGACCCAGCAGGGAGCGATCAGACCAGGTCCTGGCCTTGATGAAGTTTACCGTTCAGTGGTCAGTCCACAAACGAGCCTGTGGACATCCAGGTAATGCTGGGTGATGGCACAGAGGGGAGGTCACCCTGGACAGATGGTCAGGGATGGCCTCTCTCAAGGTGACATTTGGCTAGAATGAGTAACCCTTGTGCATTTGAGGGGGAAGAACTTTCCAGGCAGAGGAAATGAGGAAACCACCAAGGCCCCGAGGAGCAGTGAAGGACACCTGTGTGGAGAGGGCTAGACGGTGAGGGGGAGGGCACACATGCTGCAGGGTCTTGTAAGGACCCTGACTTTTATTAAGTGTGTGGTGGGGGGAGGGGTGAATTTGAGTAGAGTGACCTGAAGTAATAATTTATGTTTTTATTTTTATTTTTTTTTTTTATTGCTTAACGTATTACAAAGGGTATTACATATGTGTCCTTTTTCCCCCCCACCCTTGACAATCCCCTGGCCTCCCCTACCCTCCAGTGTCTTATGTCCATTGGTTATGCTTATATGCATGCATACAAGTCCTTCGGTTGATCCCTCTGGCTGACAGGAAAGTTCTGGAAGCTGATAGTGGTGATGGTTGCACAAACATGTGAATGTACTTAAAGCCACTAAGGCATACACTCAAAAAGGATTAAAACGGTAAATAGTATGTCATGTACATTTTACCACAATAAGAAAGAGCACTACTCATTCATTTCACGGTTCTTTAAGTTTAGAAAACAAAACAAAAGAACATCCCTCTGGAAACCAGGCAGAGAATAGTCTAGTCTGGGGGAGACCAGTTAAGATGATTTCTCTTCATCTTCACAACAGTCCTATACAGTTGATGTGGCCGATGAGAAAACTCCGGCTCAGGAAGGTTAAGGTCCTTACCCACAGTCACACAGTGAGGGACAGTGTTTGCTCAGACCCAGCCCCGAGGCCTGAAGGTAGTCACACTGCAGTACTCCTATTCATGCAGTTCAGACCAGTCTGAGCCTGCTTTCCTGGCCCTGCATGACACATACCCATCTATACCTCGTCTAACGCCAACCAAATCACTCGAGCATGTTGGTATAAGCTGCTAAGCCACATCTTGCTGTGCCCTACTTATGCCATGGTGTTCCTGATGCACAGGCAGCCTGTTTTTCCTACTCCTGCATTTTGTACATTCTAGTGCTTGTTTTGCTTGCCTGATTTCCCTCTAGAGAAAACGTTCTACTTTTGGTAAGGTTATATCTCTTGCTTTTTTTTTTTTTTTTTACTAGTAAAAGACCCAGCTCTAGCCTCTTTTTCCTCCCTTGGCACTTTGCTTAACTGAAGCACTGTTTTCCTATCCCTTGGGAACATGGATAAGATGACCCTTATGTTAACCCAGGGCTTAACACTGAGCAAGCACTCTTTGAATTATCACATATTTTCGTGCTTATTATAAGCCAGGGACTGCTCTAGGCTCTGGGGATACAACAATGAACACAGGAGACAACAATTCCTTCCTCTATGGAGCTTATACTCCCACACAAAGTAAGTTTTACAGCATGTCAGTAGGTGGTAATGATTACTGAACAGACTAAAGCCGGGAAGAGAAGAAGAGATGCTAGGATGATAGAATATACTTTTAAACAGGATGGGCAGGGCACACCTCATTGAAAAGGTATTTGAGCAGGATTATAGGAAGTGAGAGGATAAATCATGTCGCTATTTGGGGGCAACGCTTCCCAGTTAGAGCAAACAGGCAGTGCAAAGGCCCTGAGGTAGAGAGAGGACTAGCAAAGAGGCCCATAAAACGGGACTGGAGCCACATGGTGGGCGGGGGTGGGGGGGGGTGTGGGGGGAGGGAGAGAATAAACTACAAGAAACAAAGTCAGTGAGGTGGTGGGGACAAGGGTCTTGGGCTCTTCCTGTGAGCTGGACGCCACTGAATGGTTTTGGGCTAGGAGAGATGATCTGATTTAATACATATTTGCTGACTGCCAGCACTGATGCCAGGCCCAGAGTGGGGTTAAGGGATTGACTAAGAAAGGAAACGAATGTTCCCCTGACTAAGGCCCCGGCCCTGGGCTAAGTGCTTTAATGTCATCTCCACCTACAGGACAAGCAGGTGCTACTATGCTAACACACCAATCCATATATCACCTCTTGACTGGACCCCATAATAACTCTTACAGAGTCTTTTCCACACAACAGCTAGTCATCCTTTCAAAACATAAATCACTTCTGGGAATATGTCTTGAAGAAACTGGAAACACTAATTCAAAAGAATAAATGTACCCCGATGTTCATAGCAGCGTTATTTACAATAAACAAGATATGGACGCAGCCCAAGTTTCCATCAGTAGATGACTGGATAAAAAAAAAACAAAACTGTGGTGCATTTACACAACGGAATATTTACTACCTGGCGGTAAAAAAGAAGGAAATTTTAACCTTTTGCGACAGCATGGATGGACTTGGAGAGCATTACGCTAGTGAAATAAGCCAGTAGGAGAAAGACAAGCACAGTACCATATGATTTCACTCATATGTGGAATCTAATGAACAAAATAAACTAACCAAATAGAAACAGACTCACAGAGACATAGAACAGACTAACCGCTGTGAGAGGGGAGGGTGTTTAGGGGACTGGGTGAGAAAGGTGAAGGGATTACGAAAAAAACAAACATAAATCACATAATGCCATGCTCCCTTCCTCACCCTAAAGCCATAAATGGCTTTCCGTACACTCGGAATAAAAGCTAATCGCACGGAGGCCTGTCAGGCTCTGCTGAGCAGTGAACTCACCTCCTGCCCCACCCCTCGGATCATTCTTTCAGCTTTGTCGCTGCCACCCCCACAGTCCAGCTCTGGATCCAGTAACCCTGCTGGGTTCCTCTGAAGCACTTATTAACTCCTGAAATTATTTTGCTTGTTTTACAAGATTTGTTTATATATTTACTGTATGTCTTACAAGAACAAAAGCTCCAAGGGGCCTAAAATAGCTCCTGGCATACAGTAGTTCTCTATAAATACTAGTTAACAATGAATGAAAGAGAAGATACCTCTCTCATCTAAAGTAACTCTCAGAGCAAGCACCCAAGTTAACTAATAATCTGACTCAACCTAAAACCTTTTTAAAAAAATCTTTCACAAGATATTGATCAAGAACCTTATTATGTGTCAGGCATTGAATCAGGGATATGGTTACAAACAAGACAAATTTAACGCATGGAAAGTGTAGAGTCTAGAGCAGGGGTTCTCAACATTTTTCTTCCATGAACTGACTCCTTTGGCAGTATGATGAAGGCTATAGGCCCCCTTTCAAAATGTTCTGACAAGCATAACATATGTGGGGATTACAAAGGAAACCAAATGTATGGAAATATAGGTACCACCACTACTAAAAAACAAGTCTTTGATATAGTAATAATTGTGTTTTTTAACTAATGTAACAAATAACAAGATCTGGTGGGAAATAACCACAGTATCCTTGCAGTGATGAAAATAATGTTTTGAGGTCTCCAATATTTCTAATGGAATATAAAAAACTCCTGTATCTCTACCACCTAGAAATGTTTGGCTGACTCTTACCAGCTATGTTCTGAATCCAAAGTAAAAAGAAAAACAAACCCCAAACCAAAAAAATCAAACTATAATAACTTTTACAATTTCTGAAAGAATTCTATTTAAGTCCCAACACTGTAATCTTTCATTGATTTTGGTTCGGAAATCTATTAAAAGTCAAATGGAGCTTCGGGATCAGGCTTGCCTAACAGGTACCATCATAGACAGTTGGCGCCAGGGGCACCTGCCCAGGTGAGGGTTAGGAGGGTCAGTGCAGCCGAAGCAGGTGGCGCCAAGCAAGAGTGGGGACCAGCATCTCGCCCTTCCTCCAGGCTACCGGGGTCGAGGGCAGGGGAGAAAATGGAAACAGAGGCGCAAAGGGCGGGCCTGCCTTCATTTCTGGTGAGTTCTGGGCACCTCAAGTAGACTGCAAGCCCCCAGCAGTGGTTCTCAACCTTCTGGCCCTTTAAATACAGTTCCTCATGTTGTGACCCAACCATAAAATTATTTTCGTTGCTACTTCCTAACTGTAATGTTGCTACTGTTATGAATCGTAATGTAAATATCTGATATGCAGGATGGTCTTAGGCGGCCCCTGTGAAAGGGTCCTTCGACTGCCAAAGGGCTCCCAACCCACAGGTTGAGAACCGCTGCGAGTGAGTGCAGGGGAGAGGAAAGGGGGAATGTGGAGACAAAGGAGACTTTATTTGCCTCCTGGTGACCAGGCCTAAATTCAGAAGTGTTGCCACTTCTCGGAAGGGAGGGACTCCGTGCGGTGCGTCACCAGTTCACGTTCCTGCGCCCCTGATAGTGTACGCGGCTCGGCTCTCCGGTGTCGGCGGACACTCGGGACGTTTCGCCCCCTGGGCCCCGAAGCGGACGCCCGCGAGCTGGA